CAGGAAGAAGTCTGAGATGCCCAGTTCTGTGCTCACTCTGTCTCTGTCTTTCTACTGCTGGTTTTTGCTTTGTGGCACCTTATGGTGAAGGAGCGCTGTGTGGGGAGAGTTCAGAGAATATGTTCATGGGCAAAAGACAACAGCAAGAAGTCTGAGATGCCTGGTCCTTCTAGGCTCATTCTTAGTCACTCTAGGTGCTACTGGGTCCTGCATCCTGGGGGCTAAAGGTGGTGAAGGGCAGAGGGACAGGGTTCAAACCACATCTCCCTAAGCAAAAGGCAGCAAGAAGTGTAAGATATGCAGTCTTTTTGCATTCACTCTATCTCTCCCGGGCTACTGGCTTCTGTACTGAGTGTTTATGGTGGAAGGGCTCAAGGTGGGGCAGGGTCCAAAGTACACCTGTATGGGAAAAAGGCAGGAGCAAGAAGTTTAATATGCATATTATTACTGTGCTCATTCTCTTATTGCCTCAGGCTCCTGCAACCTGGGGCTCATGGCGGAGACAGGGTGGTGGGGGCGGTTCCAAAGCATATCTGCATTTTAAAAGGCAATAGCAAGAAATCTGAGATGCTTTGTACTTCTCTCTCTCTCTCTCTCTCTCTCTCTCTCTCTCTCCAGCTGGTTCCTGAACTGTGGGGGCTTAAGGCAGAGGGGAGCAGGGAGTAGGAGTCCAAAGAATACCTGTTCAGGCAAAAGCAACTGTAAGAAACTGGGATGAGCATTCCTTCTGAGCTCACTATCTTGCTACTGCTGGTTCCTGCAGGATGGCCGCTTATGGAGAAGGAATGCAGGAGGGAGGGTCCAAAGCACATGAGCATGTGCCACATGCAGCAGCAAGAAGTCTGAGATACTCAGTCCTGCTTTCTCTCTCTCTAACACTGGCTTCTGCACTATGGGAACTAAAGGCAAATGGGAGCATGGGCATGGGGATCCAAAGAGCACCTCTGCAGCCAAAAGTCAACAGCAAGAAGTATGGGATGTGCACTTCTGAGCTCACTTTCACTTCTGCTGCCTCCTGAAGTATGGGACATAATGTGGAGGGGTATAGGGGGAAAGGGGAAGTTCAGAGCACACCTGTGCCATCAAAGTCAGCAGCAAGATGTACTCCTGTTTACTCTCTCTCTCCTTAGTGCTGGTTCCTGTTCAGGGGTTAGCTTATAGTGGATGGGCTCCAGTGCTGGGGCTGGTGGGAGGAAAAGTCCCAGAGCACACATGCACCAGCAAAAGGCAGCAGCAAGAAATCTGACACATGCAATACTTCTGCTCATTCTTGGGTACTCTTTTGCTGCCAGTGGCTCCTGCAACATGGGGGCTTTTGGCAGAATGGTTTGTGGAGAGGAGGGTCCAAAGCATACCTGTGGCCATGGACACATATATGCTTGGCATAAGTTTTATGACACCAAATCAGGGACTTCAACCATGGTTGATTTCATGGGAGTCCAGTAATGTAAACATTATGTCATCTGCTGGTCCCCAGTGTTTTTGTTTGCTTTTTTTTTTCCTTAGAATTTTTAGTATAAAGTATGTGTGCTCACTGGGAAGACAGAGACAGAGAGACAGAAAATGTGAAATCACTCCCTATGGTGAATTTCCATGCCTTGATGCCTTCTTCTCCTTTTTTGATTTTGGATATGCACAAACAGGTTCCCGTTGTGAGTTTAAGTCACTGGGTTTGAGACTCGAACCTTGGTCAACAACACAAGAGTTCAGCAACCTAACCATTTCATCATCTGCTGGTCCCCATAGTAACGTTTTTACTAAGTTATTTTAACATATTACTAAGTCTTTCATTTCTATCAATGAATACATTTGTGATTGCTCATTCAATAAGGTCTTTTTAGCCCATTCCCATGTGAGGGGAAACTTGGAATAAGCAACACCATTTCTCTGACCTACTTCATTCACCTTCTCTTTCAGCTATAATTTTAGAAACCTCTGTATTTGTCCAGGATTAAGAAAATGAATTCGTTTTCGGTAAGTTGTTTACTGATTTCCCCAAGTGTTTTACATTGTACTTAGGAATTTTATGAGGGTTTGTACACTAAAAAGGAATGAGTAAAATGAAATGAAATTCAGCATAAGAAACGCATAAAAATGCAAGATAAAATTGACAGGGTGAAATAGGCAGGTTATAAGACCTTAGAGCCCTGTGAGATAAGTACAAATTGGTCTCTAGCTTTCTTATATCATGGGAAAAACACATTTATTACATGGTTTGAATTGACTTTAAGGGGAGAGCATGCTAAATTCTCAAGGGATATGAATCATGAGATAGTCATTACTGGTCACATAGATGACATGGTACACAGTGTTTTATACCTAACCTGAAAATGCACACCCAGTGTTCTACAGTGATCACTGTTACTGATTGCTAAAACACAAACAAATCAGTAGCTTTTTCTGGAGTTGCTAATATAGCATGGCCCCAGACAGCTCTTAGAAATACCCACTTGAAACATATAAACCTGGAATGTGTGGCAGGAATTTACTACAGGTTCGTAACGAACTCTCCATATATTTCTCTCATCTAGAGTGTATGTGCTGATTATGCCAAAGACTGCCCAAAGTTGTATTTCCTGACCAATCTAATAATGCACTGCATAGCAGCATTTCAGTGATGTACTGTATGTATTAACGTGGTCTAAGAAGTTTATAATGAAGCCCCAAAATCTCTGTAATCTAGCATGGTTGTAGCTGTCATAACCTTGTAAAGTAATGCATTGCTCATGTTTGTGGTAATGCTGGTGTAAATAAACCTACTGTGCTGCTAGTTGCATGTAAGTACATGCATACAATTATTATCAGTAAATATGTACACTTATAAATATAAATAATTATGCATATATTTTCATTTTTGAATCCTCTTTGGTTTATAAGTAATCATTATATACCTTTGTGAAATAAAGTATTTTTTTAAATAATCGTTTTTATTTATCTATTTATTTGTTATCATTTTGAGCCACCTGGTCCAGGACTTGAATAATGGTCAGCGATGTGGGAATCCAAAATTTAGCCACTACTGCTGGATTATGGTTTTTATATTACAGTGTCATTGTCCATTCTGCTCTTTCTTTTCTTTGCTGTTCAGAAATATTTTATCTTATGTAATCAAGTTTTTGAATTTTTGGTGTTTTTTTTCCATGCCTCATAGGTCTTATTTAAGTAGTCTTTGCCTACTCCAACAGGTTGTTCTTATATATTTTCCTTAATAGATTTATATATTTCTCCATTATATTGAAGTCTTTAATCCACTGTGAGTTAAAAGTAACTGGTAGGAGATGATCTAGTTTTACTTGAATGTTAGTGGATATTGAGTTCTCCCAGAAGCATTTACTGGAAGCTTTTTTTTCCACAGGCTTGATCTATGGCCTTTGTCAAAAATCAGTTGGCTGTATGTTAAGTTTTTTCTTGTTTATTCTGTTCAATTGGACTGTCATATGTCTGTGTTTATGCCAGTACCATGCTGTTTTAGTGATTAAAGATTTACAATACATTTAGGAGTCAGGAAGTAAAATGCCTCTAACTTTATTCCATTTGTACACAATTGGTCTGATTGTATGGGTCTTTTGTGATTCTGCATAAATTTTATAATTATTTCTGTGTTGAATATTGCTGTTTTTTTGGTAAGAATTGGAATTATTTGTAGATCACTGTGGCGTAGTATAGGTATAACACCTATGTTGATTCTTCAAATTTATGAAAAGGACTGTCTTCCTGGTTTTAGCATATTTTTCAAGTAATTTGTTCAGCTTTTATAATTTTTTTCATAGAGGTCTTTCACTTTCTTGATGAGATTTCTTCCAAGTAGTTTTTGTGGTTATTTTGAATAGGATTGCCTTCTTCATTTTTTTCTCATTTATTCATGGTGTAGAAAAATGCTACAGATATTTTTAATTACCCAGGGGATTATGTACTTGCTAGAGAGAGTGATAGAGAGATGAAGATTCAGGAAGGTAGATAAAACACCCCAAAATGAAGTATATAATGCCATTATGGGCTATAAACCTACCTGGGAACTATCCTCTGTACTAAACTGACATAGCCAGGGTGCTCAGGGGATGCCGCAATCCCTTTCCTGCAATTCGCCTTCCCATCAGGATTTTGGACACATGCACACATACACACACTCAATGCATTTCCCAAGCCCACAGGGCCTTGGACTCAAACCACAGGTGATTATGTGGGATTTGGCTCCCTATACATAATATTTAAGCCCTGTGCTATGGGTATAGCCTACTGCAGATTTTTAAATGCTGTATTTGTATCCTGCAACTTTCCTGCATTTGTTTATTTCATCCAAAAGTTATTTGGTGGATTCTTTAGGTTTTTCTATATATTGGGTTGTAATAAAAGAAAAAGCATAGAAAAATGCATCATGGCTTTTCTGATGAACAGTTATATAATCAAATCAGCCACAAATAGGGACAAGTTAATTTTTTTCTTCTTCAATTTATATGCCTTTTATTTTGTTCTTTCATCTGACTGTATTAGTTAGTACTTCCAGTATATATTTTGAATGGAAAAGAAGGAAGTGCACATTTCTGTCTTGTTCTAGTTTCAAGTTGAAAACGTTTCCACTTTTTCCCATTGAATATTATGAACGTTTCCACTTTTTCCCATTCAATATTATGTTAGCTGCAAGAATGTCATATATGGCCTTTATTTGCATCGTGGCTTTTCTGATGAACCATTATATAATCAAGTCAGCCACAAATAGGGACAAGTTATTTTTTTCTTCAATTTATATGCCTTTTATTTTGTTCTTTCATCTGACTGTATTAGTACTTCCAGTATCTATGTTGAATGGAAAAGAAGGAAGTACACATCTCTGTCTTGTTCTAGTTTGAAGTTGAAAACGTTTCCACTTTTTTCCCATTCATTATTTTGTTAGCTGCAGGAATGTCACATATGGCCTTTATTTGGTTATGAAATGTATTTTCTATGCCTATTTTATTGACTCTTAGTCATAAAGGACTATTATATTTTATCAAATGCTTTTTATGCATCAATTAATATGCTCATAAGATTTTTGTCATTTTTTTCTCTTAATGTGATCTATTACATTTGTTGTTTTATACATATTGAATCACCCTTGTATTCCAGGAAAAAATCCTACCTTGTTGTAATGTATAATATTTTTAAAACGTTGTTGGATTGGTTTCAGTCATGAGATATGGCCCTATAGTATGCTTTCATAGACATGTGCTACTTTGGCGTTTCTTGAATCTTTTTGTACATTCATATTAGTCTCTGGTTTTATTTACTTTTAAGGCTGAAGAAATTGCTTGCTTTAATATAGATCTCCTGGTGATGAGTTATCTTAACTTCTTTTAAATTCCCAAATGTCTTTGTTTTATGTCATTTTTTTCTCCTTATGGAAATGCTCACTCAATAGAGACAGAGAGGAAGAAAGGAGAAAGCATCCCCCATCACCAGCTTCCAATAAGCCTTTTCTATTCTTCCTGGGTGGCATTATGTTTGAACCCTAATACATCATAGGAACTGATTTCTTTTACCCCTTCATACTGCTAGTGGGTAGGCTGAAGCTAGCATAGGAAGACTTAGCTTTTTTTCTTGTTGAGAGATTTTTGCTATAGGGCACGTGCACTCACCAGAAAGACAAGAGAGAGACAGAGAGATAGAAAGCAAGAAATCACCCCCAAGGAGGATGGCCACACCACAATTCCTTCTCCTCCATTCTCCTCTTGGGATCTTGGGCATGCACGCACATGCGCCCAGTGTGAGTTTAAGCCAATGGGTCCAGGACTTGGACCTAGCCGACTATGTGGGAGTCCAGCAACATTGCCATTACACCAACTGCTGGTCCCAGGAGCACTTAGCTTTTGATAACTCAGGCAGCCATTACTCCTCTAATTCTCAACACACATTCTGGAAAGTTCCTGAGTGCCCTTTTTATAAAATTTATTTTACTGCTA